CAATATAATTATTTTTTCTGACTATATACGGATAATAGTAGGTAGTTAACAAATGGAAAACTACTAAAAGTATCCTCTTTGCATCAAGGAATTCTCTTTCGCAAAGTGAACAAGAAATAATTGGTCAACTCTGCCAGCCGATTTAATTCCCTTACGATATACGTTCGATATATTTCTATACTTAGCCAATGTTGCTTTCATACAATGAGTCAATTTTCCACCGATTGCCGAAAGGCAGCTAAATGATATAATAACTTTCAAAAGTGAAGTTTTTGTATTTTTCTACATTTTAAATATAGACGGACCCTTGCAAAGTTTCATGCCGATATCTTTCAAATTGAGATCGTTTACATATAGATTTACATTTTTTTTTGCTAACAAAATTACAATATTCTCTTAAAGGAAAATACCTTTAATTTTCACTATATTGAATATTGCAAATCGATTGATGAAATTAAAGTCGAGAGCTTGCAGGAATGAAGTCGAAACCACAAACTAATTAAGCGGACGGCTACGTGCACAGCTTCAGAGTTCAGGGTTCAGGGTCTCTGAGGGGATATATGTCGTGTGGCCTGTGCCTGTCTCAAACGATAGCGACGACGACGGATTGGACATTGTGGGTTTTTATGGTTCAAAGAGCTGGTCGCTGGTCTCTGGAGCTTACCAAAACCGCCGACGCTGCTGCTGCCGTGGCTGCTGTTGCTGCTGCGGTTTGTGGTTCTTTCTGCGCCTGATGCAATTGTTCGCGCTCCCGGTCCATGAGACGCACACAAACACACACACACACACACACACAGTCTTACTCATATACATTTTCCAAAATGGCGTCGGCGTGGCACTGATGTAGATACAAAACAGTAAAGCCGCAGGGGTCCCAAACGTGATGCAGTTGCAATAAAATTTCAAGTCGGCTTATGCCGTCGGAGGCGTATAGTATATACGGTGGGCGAGGTTCAGCTGTCGAATGAAACGCCCTAAGCTTTGAATTTGTGCTTACGTCTAGCGGAGCTCTTACGTTTTTGCCGTCTCATTCAGGATTTATACACACAGCTTATGAAACTTTACCCAGATGCTGAAATACGTATCTTTGGACCAGGCCATAGTATGAGATGCGCTTCAATTTAAAGTTACGTCAACTTGTGCTGCCTCTGGCTGGCTGGCTGCCTGCCTTTTTATTGTGCATTATAATCCGCTTTATGTGATCGGATTATGTCCTGCGTTGCGCCTAATCCCACCACATTCAGGCGTCCGGTGACATGTGTAGCCTATCCGGAGCAAAGCGAACCGGCGAGCCACCCTCTTTTCAGTTCAACTGATCCGTTCGCATAGTCAACTTTAATTACTCTCGCTCTGCGGCTGGATTAAGGCCCCAGCCACGCCCCAGTGCCAGTTGAACAGAAAAGCAATTAAAATGTGTATCTGTTGGATACACACACATACACACAACACACATACACACGCACGCACACACACACATATAGCCTATAGCCTATAGCCTAGCAGGTGCGGGGCGCAGGTAGCGCTTGAAAGTGAAAAGCGGCTTTCCCAAAGATCTCTTCGTTAAGATTGCCTCGCAATAAAGTTAATTAGAAACTTTTGGGTAGCGCTCATTTACCCAACCGCCTGGCCGCTCGAACTTCGTCCCTCATTTCGGTCATCGGCACTTTGCTTTGCTTGCATATTCTAGTGAAATTATAGTTAATTGCACATCATTAAAAGCAAATTCTTGGAATTAATTTTATGTTACGTCGAAAAAGCAAAAGCAACAACAACGTAACGCCAATAAACAAAATGGCCGTCCGCCACCGAAACTCAGCAGCTGCCCCATTCATTATAGTGTCAGATTCAACGAATAATTACAACCTGCACTACACACACACACTCACACACACGCGCAAGAGTTGAAAATGTCATTGAAAGTGACCGCTGGTCGAGGATGTCCTAGGAAGGTGCAAAAATCTGTAGTCCCAGCTCTTACTTTGATATTAACGTACTTAACTTTTGTCAATTTTAAAAGTATTTACACAAAAAGGCTTACACAGAACGCAGTTTCATTTATAACGCCCCTTATTTCTTATACAAGCATTTATTTCTGATAAATTTAAGCTTTTTTGTATTATTTCTCTAAATGTTCGATGAAAAATGCCGCATAATTATTAAGACCATGGGTAAGAATTTGTATTCAGAATCTGTTGCCAAAGTAATATCAGCTTAAAACAGGTGGGAGTTTTTCTTGAGCGTGTTAACAATATTTTGAGTTATTCACTTATACTTTACATAGTATACAAATTATTTGTATATAGTATTTATAGTAATTTTTTTCCATTGAAAACAGCGTGTATCAATAGGAAATGCATAGCGTAGAACGTAAATTTATAAACCATTAATCAATTTAACATTTTTTTATACATATTTATTTTGATTAATCCATCATCCACTTTTGTGTCAGTGTTATAAGCTACTATTTATTTTATTAGAGTATTTAAGTCTAAAGTGGCCCCTTATTATCATTGGGTCTTGTCCCGTTCTTCATGTCAGGGTGTTCGTAAGTTCCGACGAGATCTGACAGCTGGCTTTTGCCATTAATAGCTGGCTGTCTATTAAACGTTCCTCACGACGCAGCAGAATAAGCATGTGTTTGTGTTTGTGTGTATGTATATCTTTTTTTAAACTTAATGTAGCAGCTGGCAACGCCATTTTGAATTTGTCAGCCATCTTGAAAAACGTTGAGCGCTTAAAGCTCCTTTAATTCGTTGCATGATTGTTTTTTTTAAACTGATATAATTTTAAAAAATTTTTAATTTTCTGAGATAGGCAATGCAAGGGGGTAAGGCGAAGGTTAACTATAGCTGACCACGCAACGGGGCGAGGGAAAAACAAGAGCAGAAGACCGAGGCCATACACGGTCCCCCCTACAATCGTGTTGTACGGCAGCGGCACTTGTATGATTGACGGATGGACTGAATGAGTGCACGTCGTTCGCAGCCGCCATGAGTTGCCCTATGTGCATGGTATAAGTGTGTGTGTGAGTTACGATGGTTCGTCTCCCACTCCAACGGCACTCAAAGTGTCCGCGCCACTCGGAACTTGTATTTCTGAATCTAAATATTTAGAGGAGCTCACGTTCGTGGCGCTCAAGCGCGACGAGACCGCAGCAAACGGCAACGGCAAACAGCAAACACAAAACACACACACACCTAAAAAGAGACGAGTCATTCGCAGCCGCTGCAGCTGATCTTGATGGAGAGCACTCTGCGGTACAAAGAGTGAGAGAGTAAATGAGTGTGTGTGTGTGTGAGCGGTTGTTGTTGTTGCTGTCTCTGCTTTGTAGTTACATATTTGCTTTGCCTTTCACACCGAAACGGCAAAACCAGAAACCGAACAACAAACAGCACGAGACTTGAACACGAAAGTGAAACACAATTTCAGCAACGTCTGCCCGCGTCTGTGTGTTTTTGCATACATATGCAAGAGTATACGTGCCTTCGTGTGTGTGTGTGTGTGTGTGTCCCATTGTTAGTGTGGGTGCCTTAGCATTTGTTTGCTGTTACAGTTGTTTGTTGTTATAGCATGGGAAAAGATAACGTACGAAATTGCACGAGACAATGAATATTTGTATACTATACGATAAGCAGCATATGTATGTAAGTGATAAGCTGTGTCAATCGTAATTCTGATGATTTAATAGATTCGAGAGTGCAGAAAGATTACAATTTCTTATCGCAATGCAGCGACGGCGGCACGAGCACGTGTAGCCTGCTTAAAAGTTATTAACCTCAACCAAACACTTGGATAAATTGAAAGTGAGACCTGATCGATAACAAGTCGATAACTTACCCGCTTTTCGGCACTATCGCAAGGATTGCCAACAGATGATGACGATGACGAGGATGTGGATGTTGTTGCCGCAGTGCTTGGCAAATGATTTGGTGGCAGCACATCCGCTACCACCGAGTCCAATTGCTCCTGCTTAATGCCGGCGATTAACGGCAGAAAGTCATTCTTCAGATTCTCCAATTCCAAATCCATTTTATTTTAGTTTTTTATTGAATATGTCAAACGTTGTCTGAACGCTGTATCGTGTACGTGGGAATGGGGATTTGGATTTGGGTTGTCAATGTGGGCGTAGGCTAAATTTAGCGCGAGAATTTTATCTTCACCAGCAGCTGGTGCCCTTGGTGAACATTTTTAGTTATTTCAGGATTTCTATTCCATTTCATTATTCATTCATTCCCGACAGCGGCAAGCGAAGTAGCAATACAAAAACAACGCCAACTTGGCTGCCTACACACACAACCACAGTCACGCACACGCATACACAAACAAGTCAATTTGTGCACAATAAATAGTTTCGCTTTCGTATGGGACTTAGAGGTTTCTTGATTTACACGGCGTTTATTTGGTTGTTCTTGGCATTTTATGGTGTTTTTTTTTTGTTTGTTTGTTAATGCGTTTTCATTTTTACCTTCAACTTCGAACGTTTTGCTAAATTTTTCTCTCTACTCTTTTTGCACAAATTCTCATGGAGGTGAAAACTTTCATTGAAATGTTCACATTACGCTCTATATTAGGTTTGCCACTACATTGCACTGCACTCTGTTAGTTTTTTTTTGCGTTTGGCGCTTGGCTAACACAATTGTTTATTTGTTATTCAAATTAATATTTGTATTTTATTGGCAATAAATTTCTACGAAAACACACGGTCACGGCGTTTACTCTCCTTGGACGCTTCTTCTGTACAAAAATTTTCTACTCGCGTAGCCATTTTGGATTTAACAGCGTTGCCAGACTTTTTCTAGTTACGGGTAGCAATACACGTTCAGTCCATCCGATGTATAAGTAATTTAATTTGCTCACATTTTACATAAAACTGTAAGCAGATAACAGTTTTACATAATTTATAAAAATGGAATTGTTAATGTTATGTGTAACACCTTTTCGATTTGTGATAATAAATACAAATTTCGATAGGGTTGTGGCAGCTTTGGTAATCAAATATGTGTGTATGTGACGAGCTACAAGTCGTCATGCAGCAGCTGGGTTGTATTACCATAAAAGAACGGCACACGTGTAAAGTTGTATTTGTTGGTAATTCACTTTTTTAAATTAAATAAATGCTTTTAAGGCATATATTAGTCCGCTTCCCAAAGGCAGGTGAATTTTTATACACTGTCATAGCTGCCAGCAACAAATAAATGTATTTATTCCACAGTTTGCCTGAAAACGCTGCTTCGAACAGACATTAGCCGGTACTCTTTGTGTTCGCGTCACAAATCCTTTGCTGTGGCCATGACTGAAGCACTCGACAAACTGGAACAAGAGCGGGAGGCAAGGAAAGTAACCAAAGAGGCTGAAGATGAGTCCGTTAAAGAAGCCAATCGCTTAAAGCGTACTCTTAAACGAAAGAAATGGGTGGACTGGAAGGCACAAGACGAGGAAGATGCTGCGAATGGGACAAAGCGAGCTCCATTTGATCCCGCGGATCGCATCAAGCGCAAGAAAAGTGCCATTTTGTTGAGCTACTGTGGCGCCAACTACTATGGCATGCAACGCAATCCTGGCATGCAGACCATCGAAGAGGAGCTGTTTAAAGCAATGTTGAAACACAAATGGATAACAGAGGACTCTTTCGAGCAGGTGCAAATTGCCAGCTTTCAGCGTGCCGCACGCACAGACAAAGGTGTCTCGGCTGCGCGACAGGTGTGCTCCGTTAAGTTGCGTAAGTAATTTAACTATTCAGCTAAACATCATTAACACATGACTTTTCAGCCGAGGAGCTGGATCTTCTAGCATTTAATGCAGATTTGCCCGATCAGATACGTCTGTTTGGTGTGGAACGTGTTACTAAAGGCTTTAATGCCAAGGATCAGTGTAATGCACGCACATATACGTATACTCTGCCAACTATAGCATTTGCCGCCTGTGATGAGCAGCACGAACAGGAAACGTATCGCATACCGCTTGAGCTTCAGGAATTGGTTAACGCCACATTAAAGCTGTACGAGGGCACCAAAAACTTTCACAACTTTACGAGCAAAAAGTAAGCCATTCGTCTCCAGATATTGTCTATCATAATAAAAACGCTTGCCTTTAAGGAACTTTCTAGATCCATCTGCCAAGCGTTTTATCATGTCCTTCACATGCAGCGCACCATTCCTAAGTCCACAGAGCATTGAGTTTGTAACGCTGCAGGTGAAGGGTCAGAGCTTCATGTTACATCAGATACGTAAAATGGTCGGCCTGGCCATTGCCATAGTACGTGGCAATACCACGACGGCGACTTTGGAACGCGCTTTGACCGAGGAGCGTCTGGACTTGCCGATGGCACCGGGCTTGGGCCTTGTGCTGGACACCGTGCACTACGAGCGCTACAATGACCGCTATGGCAAGGACGGCATACATAATCCATTGACATGGGAGGCGCAGGAGGAGCAAGTTAGGCAGTTTATAGAGCAGCACATCTACGCCAACATATACAAAACGGAGACCGAGCAGCGCAACATGCTTGATTGGCTGAGTACTTTGCATTTTCACTCGTACGACACTAGGCGAGATGAGCCTCCGCCTGAGGCTACCGGCAAGCAGATGAAGAATGAGGATGATGATGGGGAGGAATAGCAAAACTAATTATGTATAAGTTGACAATTATAAACCAGTTGTAATTTTGTAAAGTTGATACAGTTTAAACGCATTTGTTTGGCTACAGTTTAAAAGCGTCCGCCCTTCTTCTTCTTGTGACCACCCTTGCGATGCTGCTGCCTTGGACCGGGTGCGGGTTCCTGGTAAACGGGTGTCGCAGGCGAGTTCTTGTTCAGATTGGCACGATTGGACATGTCGCTGAAATAGGAAGAAATAAGTATACTTAGATTATGTAGAAGAAAGTCATCACTTACTATTGGTCAGCTGCGCCAGAAGCCATGCCCTGTGAGCCTTTAATAATGTCCTTAGCGCGCGCACCGCCGCGCTTCTTACGAAAGCCGGTACGTTCATACTTGGGAAGCCAGCGCTCGGGATCGGGCGCCACCTCAGCATTGTAGTTCTTGGGTAGCTTGCCTTTTCGCTTGCGATTGCCGCTCTTCTTCTTTTCTGTTGCGGGTGTGCTAGGCGACGGCTCAACTTTGGCGTTGGCTGTTTTTTTGGCTGCCTTCGTGGACATCACCCAATTAGCCGCTTCGAGGGCATCGATTTCGGAGGCCGTGGTAAGAGTTTCCAACTTGGGCAACTTGCGGCTTATCTCAAGCGCGCGCTTAGGATTAAACTGTGCATAAGCAATAACCAGCTGCGCTAAAACCTTCATATCGTTGGGCTTTAGCTTGAGCAGCTCTTCTAACGAGCTGGCAGCGGTCTCAGAGGCGCCACCACGCAAATGAAATTCGGCTGCCTGACGCCACATGTCCGACAAATCACCGCTGCTCACGTTATTCTGCTTGTACCAGTCAACGGCGGACTTGAGCAGTGCCGACGCGGCCGGCTTATTGTCTGTGCCCAAATAGAGCGACACCAGCGCCGAGACAATGCCAGGCTTGTACTTGGCCTCACCCAGCGAGAGCAGTGTTTCGATGGCATCTTTACGATTTCCCTGAAAAATCATGGAATTTGCTTTATGAACAGAATAAGAATAGGATAGCCGCCACTGACCTGTAACAAGTGCAGCTGAATAATGGCAAATTTGCTGATAAACTCGTGTGTCTTGTGTGTACTGGCAAACTTGTTCAGTTGCTCGATGGCCTCCTTGTGCTTCTTGTCATTGGCCAGTTGGCTGCAGCGTATGAGCAGTGCCTCAAACTCTACTTGTGGATAGCTTTGGGTGAGTTTCTGTGTTAGCTGCTGCACCTGATCGCCGGCATTTGTATACAATGCCAAAAGGCAATTGTTGAGCGCTATTGTCTGCTTCTGACGTGAAGTTAGCTTTGGTTCACAAGCCTCTGCCATGGCAGCGCGTATTTTCTTCTTAGAATCAAAGACATTCTGATCCTTGTTAATGACCACCGAATTGTTACTGGCAACGGCGACAAGAGCAGCATCCTTGGGCTTATGGCGCAAACACTCAGCGTAAATGACACTCGCCTCCTTAATCTTGCCCTGCTGTTGCAGACAGTAGGCGAGCTGAACTCGGATGACGTCCAGCTCTTCGAGTATTTCCTCATCGCTGGCACCTTCCTCTTCGAGAAACTCGCGGCACAGTTTTTCACTGGTGCGCAGTTTGCGCTCGGCCTCTACATATTTCTGGCGATTGGACTGAATGCAAGCGCTGTTGAAGTACTGCTCGTAAGTGTCCTCTGGCACTTCCAGTACTTCCTTTTCCTTGTCCAAGGCCAAATTTGCTGCTACTGCACTGAGATTGGTGCGACGCTCGTCCTCGTACTCGTCACTACTGTTCTTGATGATCTCCTTGTATGCATCTAGACAGTCTTCGTAGCGTTCCAGGCGATATAGTATTTGTGTACGCAGCTCCTTAAGCTTAGCCGGCAGCGGCTGCACGCCAGCATCGTCAATGGTTTTAAGTGCCTGCACCTGTTTGTTTAGGCGGTACTCACAGTAAGCCTTCTCAAAGATCAGCACACTGCTGAGACGATTTTTCTCGATGAACTTGTTCGCCTCATCAAACTTGGACAGCTGCATCAGGCAGACAACTTTGCAGTGTAAGGCCGTTTGATCATCAGGTGCAACGCCCAAAACTGGGAAAAATTGTGATTGTTGAAATATGGTAGTTTTGACACATTTCTTGTAACTTACTGCGGTTAACGGCTTTTACAGCCTTGTCAAACTCCTGATTGGTGCCGAACTTATGAACATCAGCATAGGCCGCTTTAATAAGCGCCTCCTTGGGATTTGCATCTTTCGACATAATAATAATAATCAACCAGAAAACAGTTTGACACCCAACTTTCGCCTCGCTAGCAACTTTGACAGCTGGACACATCAGCAATAATAAATTCGAGTGTTGCCACTGCCAGACTGTCAAGCATGCAGTGTGGACGGATCGCTGTAAAATAGTCGCTCGATAATTGGTCTTTGTCAGCTGTGTATCGATAACGATTTACTATCAACAAATATTACTCGCTGGCGACGCCTTTGCGAGCTCTACTCTGTGCGTGTGTTTTGTGTAAATTATTGTAAAATGTCGGCTGAAGTAGATTTTATAAATAAAAAGGAAGTGCACCTACGCACGCTAAAGCAGTCTGGACATGTTGGATTTGACAGTTTGCCCGATCAACTGGTCAATAAAAGCGTGCAAAACGGATTCGTTTTCAACGTTATGTGCATAGGTGTGTATATACAAATGCGCTACTACACATGTGTGGGTGTGAGTATGTGTATGCGGCATTGCCTAAGTGTGTGTATGTATGTGCAATGAATCAACGAAGAAAAATGTATGGAGTTGAAATGAGTGCATTGCACACAGATTCTTAGGCACGCCAGCACCAAATGACTCACTTACATATCTACACTGCATGCATGTACGTTCGCATATATGTGTAAACAATTGAATTCGTCGCGAGCTAGCCGGATTAATATGCAAAGTGTTTAGCAATCGATTTTCATCAATTTGCTTTCTACAATTTCACCCTGACGCCAGTGCTGTCAGTATTTGAAGGGCGTAAAAAGCTATGCATATTGGCAGAAAAAAGCTAAAGATTTGCAGCACTTTTAATATATCTATGTATTATGAATGTAGATTTGGATTAACATTTATTGCTCCAATTTACTAATTGTGTTGTCATCGATTTCTAGACAAAAGCTGATTCTAAAGTTTCCTGATTTTCAATACTTTCAATATTAAAACAGCTATAAAAAAGCTATTATGGCAACACTGCCTGACACAAATATTTGTCTAGTGCCCAATTGAAGACACTTGAGTTGACTTATGAACATTGCCAGTAACATGTGCTTATTTCCCCTATAGGCGAGACGGGTCTGGGCAAATCCACATTGATGGACACACTGTTTAACACCAGTTTCGAGTCGACGCCGAGTCCCCATACGCTGCCCAGCGTTAAATTGAAGGCCCACACATATGAGCTGCAAGAGAGCAATGTGCGGCTCAAGCTGACGATCTGCGATACTGTTGGCTATGGCGACCAAATCAACAAGGACGATTCGTTCAAGGCTGTTGTCGACTATATTGATGCCCAGTTTGAGAATTATTTGCAGGAGGAGCTTAAAATCAAGCGCTCCCTTGTCACGTGCCATGACAGTCGCATACACATTTGTCTGTACTTCATCTGTCCGACTGGACATGGTCTGAAGTCCTTGGATTTAGTTTGCATGAAGAAACTGGACAGCAAGGTGAACATAATTCCGGTGATTGCCAAAGCGGATACCATTTCCAAGGTGGAGCTGCAGCGCTTTAAAGCAAAGATCATACAGGAGCTCAACACAAATGGCGTGCACATCTACCAGTTCCCCACTGACGATGAGACCGTGGCGGAGACAAACAGTCTGATGAATTCGCACATTCCGTTCGCCGTTGTCGGCAGCACTGAATTCATCAAAGTGGGCAACAAGCTCATTCGCGCTCGCCAATATCCCTGGGGCACGGTCCAGGTAGAGAACGAGACGCACTGCGATTTTGTCAAGCTGCGTGAGATGCTCATTCGCACAAATATGGAAGATATGCGCGAGAAGACGCACACACGACACTATGAACTCTACCGTCAGAAGCGGCTGGAGCAGATGGGCTTCAGTGATGTGGACAGTGACAACAAACCTGTCTCATTCCAGCAAACTTTTGAGGCAAAGCGCTCTAATCATCTTGCCGAGCTTCAGTCCAAGGAAGAGGAGGTGCGCCAGATGTTTGTGCAGCGAGTCAAAGAGAAGGAGGCCGAGCTCAAAGACAGTGAGAAAGACTTGCATTTGAAGTTCGAGAAGTTAAAGCGGGATCATGCGGAGGAGAAGCGCAAGCTTGAAGAATCTCGAAAAGCACTCGAAGAGGACTATTTGGACTTTCAGAGGCGCAAGCAACAGCTGGCCACAGCACACCATACACTTACGCTGGGAAAAAGCAAGAAGAAGTAGACAGACATTACATATAAGCAATTGTCTTCAAGTATTTTGTACGGTTTGCGTATCCCAAAGTAATTATTGCTTTTTCATCTCGTTGTATTCATTTATGCTATTAAGTTTTCTTCAAATATTAACATATACACCAACGTACATACATATATGCATACATACATATAAGTATGATTATTTACAACTAACGAATAAACGAACTTAGTATTTTAAACAAATTGAAAGCGGCTTTTTTACCAGGGCTGAATACCATAATATCTAACTAGAGTTAGGAGAACGAACGAGAAGGTGAATCGAATGAACAAGCGAACCAGCTAAACAGCTTGGTTCGCTCATTTAGTTCAGTGAGTCAATTGCGCTTGCATCGAACGATTTGACAACTCTAACTTGCAGTTCTATCAAATAAACGAAAACGCAATTATTGTATTGCAAATAATTAATGTAGTCAATCATTAGAATTATAAACAACTATAAAGCAATTAAAAGTGTTCAGATTGTTGTATACATTTCTAAACTTATTGTATGGTACTCTTAAAAACAATTCGGAACTTTCTGTGTGTATGTGTGTTTTTTTGTTTGTCCATAGGGGCGGGGGTGCAGGTGCACTGCAAAAGTGATTTTTCATAATAAGCGTAGTCGGAAATACCAGACGCCAATTTGTTGCTTTGCAAAAATGCATAGCATTAGCAGCACATTGCTAACGTTAACTCTGGTGCTGTACGCCTTATTGCATACAGGTAAGAACTAAACCTCGATGCCAATCGAGTTTTGATTCGTGCAAAATGAATAATTTTCAACTGTCCGCATTTCAGTTAATTGTAAACATGTTGTTATAACGGCCCCACAACATGCGCTCATCGGCTCCACGGTAAATGTTAGCGCCACATTATACGATGGCAATAAAATTGCCAGCAAAGGCAGCTATAGCTTCACCTGGAAGGACAGTGCTGGCCAAATGAAGGTAAATACGTTGCGAAAAGAAAGCGACTTTTGCCTTATAGAGAGTATAGAGTAACGGTTGACACAGAGCGACACATATGTTCATACGCACCATACTATTACTATGACTAATTAAATGTACACATGCGAAGTCTCTGGCTCGCCACGGAGCGCACATTCCCTACATACGTTCCAATTCATTTTTACGATAAGAAAGCTAAAGCCGGAATCGTCATCATCAGCAACAAACAATTTCCATATTTAAAGCGCATTTCAAATGTTGTATAAGACCAGTTGATAATAATATACATTTACAGAGTTAATTTTAGATAACGCTTCCATTGAATTTGTATGTACTCGATATCAAATTTGCAATGCTAATTTTTGCAATCATTTAATGTCGCTGAATAGCCGTGCCTGGCACGTTTAGTTACACTACATTAGAGTACACTGACTCGGTCATGATCTGTAAATTGACCAAATTCGCGATGCTGGCATGTCAATTATTTCCTTTGTTAATTTTTCTATTAACATACGACAATTTCAATTGTGCATATGGGTCATGTAATATATAAAATTTATTTTAATTGGAAACTGTACATTTGTTTCGTCATACAATAAAAATAAGCACAAAAGTTGACTGATTTATTAGTATTCGCCTATAACTTTACATACTAAGTTTTTGTGTTTAGTTTGCGTCACAGATGCTATTATAAACGACCTAATTAAAAGCTACGCCCATATTTTATTAATGAATGACTAATTACGTATTTAAATTGCTTTTGCTGAAATGCAGGAAATTGAGACGACCGAACCAATCAGCAATTGGAGTGTAATATACGCAAGGGACGACAAGAATTTGGGAGTCCATCGTTTAGAAGTGAGTGTGTCGGAGAAGACGTTCATATTGTGGTTTCCGGTGGCTGAGAATGCAGTTGCCCTCACAGTGGTCAATACACTTAGCGGCAGTCTGCAGCTTATACAGGATAAAAAGGTGCGCACACAGGATTTTGTGTCCACGCAGTATCCAGTAGAGCATAGCATTGAACTATGGCAAGCAGATTTGGATTATTTAAAAAGTAATAACTACTATATTAATACGTACTGGTTCGAAAACTGTACATATCTGGGCATGTCGCATGCCTATGACTATCAAGCAATATATCCCGATCCTGATCAATACTATAATATTGAGGCGCTGGTGGTGGCATCACCCTTTCCTCTGCCAGAGCCAACAACATCTACAACAACAACAACAACCACAACAACAACAACGAGCACTACTACAAGCACCACGCCCGCAACTACAACGTCCACTTCCACAACGCCCGCCACAACAACAACAACTCCCGCAACAACAACTACAACCACAAAAGCACCAAAACTGTCTCGACTTAAACGTGACCTTAACCAAACCATGCACGCAAATGCTAAGCTGCTTGGTCTGAACCTGGCTGCCGCAGTGCAGCAGGAGCTCCTGAAGAAAAACAGCAGTGGCAACGCATCCATGGCTCTTGTAAATCCTTTGGGCGTGCGCAAGCTAAAGCTGCTGCCCGTCCCGGCACCAGCTTACAATTGTGTTGATGGCAACATTGTTGCACAGGATCCAAACAATACCTATGGCTATTTTCAGCGGCGTGTTGTCTCTAAGAGTAAGTGATCAAGCAAAATTTGAAAGCAATTAAACATTCTAATAAAATCAATTTCTTCAGCGCCCATCTCCAGCTTTGGTACGAGCGGCAAGAACTGGCTGCAGCATTGGGAGCTGATCAATCTACAAATCACCTGCAAAGGCTCAGCGCCCTTTGAGGTGTGCATTCAGTATTACAATGGTGCGTATCCAAACGTATAAATTGTCCAATTTAGTGCCTTATTTACTTACTTATTCCCAAACTTTAGCGCCGTATAATGCCACAGGAAACGAAACGTGCAGCAGCTATGATATGTACGACAAGTGCGACTTCATATTTGCGCGCTATTTCGCGGATAGCAAGACGATTCTTTTTTTTATACGCAACGAAGTCTCTGAGAGTGTCAATCAAGTTACTATTAACATCTATGAAGGTTGGCAAAGCATCTACAAATCAACCTAAATTAAGTTTACTTTTAAGAGTTTGTTTTTTTTAATCCTTTTTTTTCACTCTTCCAACAGCTAAGCGACAATCGCAGCTATCGGTTGTAGTTGTGCCTATTGCCTGCACTCTGGTAGCCGTTTGCCTGGTCATTTTCGGAGTGGCTTACTACATGCAGAGCCGTAATCGGTAAGTTCCCAATATCCTACTCGTAGTCGCAACGAGCAACTTATTTTGTATGCCTTCAGATTTACGGTAGAGGTGGCTGATTTTAATTTTGGTGATACACAGTCGGTGGATATGGAATACAAAACATTCCAGCAGCGTTTGATCGACAGCATACGTGATGCGTGGCCATGGCCCAGGTGGCGTCGGTACTCGCAGTCAAGCACGGATCTCATGGCCGAGCAGCCGTCAAATTCCGGAAGCTTTGGCGGCAACGTTGGCGACGTTGACAGCAATTTGCGCTACAATACGTTCAACTAAAATTGAACACTTTTGCATAATTGTTATCTTTATTATTTAATCATATTAATTTAAATTTTGAGTTTTTAGTTCATAGTTTTGATTTCTTTCAATGGGTGCGTTTCGTAAGTTTTAGTCATTTGCATTGTAAAGCAGTTTTTTTTGTAGTGGGCAATATCATCCCAATTTTTGTTCGTGTCCCCATATTTTCACATTTACTCATATTCGTGACTATTTTCGTCCACCAAAACGCACACTCGCTCAGCAATTGCCAAACGACATGCAATATTTCATAGCAAATGGATAAATTTTATGAACGCAACTAATATTCTCATAAAATGTTGTAAAAGACTGTCTTTGTTCTAAAAAAAACAAGCAAAAGCAAGAAACAAAAGAAGGAAATTAACGTATGCTAAAAATTTGATTCGTTTTAAGTGAAAGCATAATATATTGTCATGTTTGCAGACATAACTTGATGGCAAAGACACAGCACATGCATATACAAAACAACCAAACACAAAAAATATATTATTCATTGTGATAGAACTAACATTATATTTGTATATTTAAAACAAAATCCTGGGCTATGATAAAACGCTTCTAAAAGTACATACATGGCCTGCGTCAAACATAAAGACAATTCTTGATCGCATGACAGAAAATCAAATCTTATATGTATATATGCATATAACATATGCGAATCGTTGGTTTTATGAATTGGATCAAAATTCAATATTGTTAGGATACGATATAACATTTTATTTGTATCCGATATTTGGGCCACTTATTTGTTATTTTGAAAATCGCGCGTTAATTACGCAGAAATGCGCTTGAAAACGCAAATTGCTCTGGTAATAATTTGCCCATGTAAATTTACAGATAAATGTTGCGTTAGCAGAACACCTCAAAACTAGTCTTACATTTTGTTTAGTTCCTGGCAAAAAAATGTTTTTAAACGATATTGGACAGCCTTTAATATTAGATCCCCATAAAACATATGGACCTTATGAGCAAGTAAGTACTAAGATAGATCTTTTTTTATATTAATTAATATAATTATATCTACATAGCACAATGGGCCGATGCTGTTAACATCAGCCGCGTTCCAGGATCACAGAGCTCCTTCAAATTGGTGTGGGCGCATTATCGGCTCAGCAGAAGATGTGGCTCGTTTCCAAAGCGTGTCATCCAAATCGAATCAAGGGTATAAATTCGATGTCCTTAAGCCCAACGAACCAACCGAAATTGTGTACGACAATACAAAGATCATGCTGACTTTGATACCAGCCGGACAGAACGAGGACAATGAAAATGCCATCTTATATTATTTGAAAAGTTGGTGCCTCACATCTATACATTTATATAATACATATAATCTACAACGTTTTGTTCTTCAGATGACTACATCAGTGCTCTTATAGCTGACAATTTGACCGGCTATTTAGATTTTATACCAAAGGCTGGTGCATCCTTCCATCTTGCACTTGGCAAGGGCATCGATGTCATGTATATTGACGATATATGCTACATGTCCGAGGACGATGAAGCGCTGGCACAAAGAGAGTATATCTATGCTCTGGTACAGCTCATAAGACCCAAATATTTGTACGGATTAAGATTGGACAAATTACCGAAGTATTTGCTCAATCTTTGCGTTCAGAAGGATAAGTTGTTAACCGATGATTAATCACAATTATTGACAACCAGAAATATCGTAAAAATTTTAATTTACAAGTTAACGCAATCGGGTATGGGTAGAGGTAACTAAAAGCTTTAACTAATTTTAACGCCGCCGTCACCACACTTGGATTATGCCTTGGCTGCCTTGGCCTTGCTTTTCACTTTCTTAACACGCTTAAGACCATCCATTTTGCTCTTCATAAATTGTGAGTACATCGCCATCATTGTGGGAACGTCTCCCTGGCGAACCACTGTAGAAATCTGTTATTTGATAGACAAGTGAACTGTTAAGAAGCAGAATATATATATAAGCTTTGTTTACCTTTTTGGACTTGAATTGGGCACGCATCAGGCACATGTATGTTTCTGGTTTGGGCAGAGGTTTTTTTTCTGCTCGCGGCACAGGACGATCATGCCCATCATCTGTGTGTTTTAATTGAAAAAAAACAGAACGCATTTTAATTAGAGAAGTCGCATGCGGGCAGACTCGCTACTTACATCGTTTAAATGTTATCGTGAAGGAAGAATTGTCTTTCGCCTCATTGGCAATCTTCTCCAGGCGCAGAATGAACTGTAAATAAATGCAGCGTTATTGAGAATATTGGGGTAAATTGATTTATTTACGTTAGAATTGTCGAGCAAAACCATTTCGTGGCAGATACTAGAGCTAGCGTAAAGTGACTTGTGTGCTGTGGCTTATTTAGTACATTATTTTATGGAATGTAACCCAACATTGTTAACAGACTGTTAACTAACATAAGTTCTGACGACACAAAAAGCATTAGAGCTGCCCACTTGCATATGCTGTTAAGTTGGCAGGGCTGGCATTCGGTCTTGCTTCGCCAAAAAAAATTTACATTAAAAATCGTAAAAATCTACGAAAACTTACAAGTGCAGGCAATCAGCTAGGCTGTTGAACGCCCAAACACTCACAAAAGTTGGCATCACCGCAGTCGCATACCCAAAGCTCCCAAGATTTCACATCCAGCGTGTACAGGCTGATGGTGTAAGCAGAAACGATCGACCGACTCGACGACCGCCAAAGGAAGCGCCCCCGCCCGCCCACGCCAGTAGTAGCAGTAGCCGTAGTAGGCAACGACAATAACAAATTCTGTGTTAAAGCACAACCTTCAAGCCCCTTGGCAGAAGTCAACAAAAGGCAACTCACGACAACAATCTTGCAAATATGGTAAGCACGCGTAGCCGGCCTCCAGCGCAGCTCAGGACGATGTGTTGATGCTGGGCAACTTGCGAGTCATTAATGCAGACACACACACACACCCACACATACACACACACCAACACACACAGGGTCGTGAGCACGGTGAATAAGCAAAAGCCGCGCAACGTCGCCGTCGTCATCGCTGCTGTTATTGCAATGAACTTTGACCGAAAACATTGTTACTACTTTCTTACAGGACGTGTTCCTCATGATCAGAAGGCATAAGACAACCATCTTCACGGATGCCAAGGAGAACACATCAGTTGTTGAACTGAAACGCATGATCGAAGGTAAGTGTACCAATATGCATACACATGTATTTCTCTTTGCTCTGTATTCGCGCGCGTGTGTGTGTCCGTCTGTGTGGGTGCGTGTGCGTATGTGTTGAAGTGTTATTCCTATTTTTAGATCTGATTTTTGATTATTAAGTAATTTTATAATCATTGGCAGGCATTTTGAAAGTGTCACCTAGCGATCAACGGTTATACAATCAGGACAACGATGTCATGGAAGATGATCAAACGTTGCAGGACTACGGTGTTACGGTATCAACGGCAAAGGCTCAAGCCCCAGCACAGTTGGGCTTAACATGCAGGTGAGCGACGATTGATGCCCATTCCCTGTTATTCCAGTTGCCGTTATGAAAGCCGCCCTTTGAGTCACGCTGATAAGCGACTACCGCGACTACCGTTGTTGTTTTTTGTTCTATGTACATATAAGAGATGGACGCGTATTTGATTTTTCTAACACGACGCGATACCAACACGAATCAGAAACATGTTCAAATATATCATAAACCCCAACACGACACGCACGACTTTTACCAATGTTTACTTTTTCTTGCCCCTTCTACCTACTTTAATTGGTTTGCTATCTGCTTCAAAGTTAATGAATCAGCATTATTTTTTTAAATGAAGCAAAAGTATTGTTCAGTTCAAATATCAACGTTAGTTTTATCTTACGCGACACGTGTTGAGTCCTGCGTTGTCGTGTCACAAAAGACAACACGACACGAGTCCAGCTCTAGTATGTATGTTATCTTTTAATGCTCGCACGTGTGCCATAGTTGTTATTATTCAGTTAACACTTTGCTAATGCGCTTTCTATGCTCGCAGGAACGAAATGGGTGATTTTGAGACGCTTGATATCACCCCATATTCAGCACCGCCCGACTTACCAGAAGTGATGAAGAATCAAGAGGCCTCAAATGGACAGGAACAAGTCGCATAAAGTGAAAAGAAGCATTAAAATCAACAGCAACAACAACAACAACAACAATACCATCATCAACAATAACAACAGCAGCTACTACTTGGATTCACAGCCGCTGCTGCTGCTGCTGTCGCATGCGAGACAAACCTAATGCTGAGAGTCAAAATAACTATTGCTCGCTTGTCCCCCACAGTCAACTCTCTCGATGCAATGCTAAATGTTTTGAATTGTACTACAATTTCTACTCTGCCTGGTCAAAAAAACAGCAACAGCAACAATAGCTAATTATGTATGCATTTTTTTCGTTGGTTATAGCAAGGAACAATTTAATTAATATGATTCAAAATTATAATTTGAGATGGGATTTGATAATCCTATATATTTAAAATTAACTATTTGTTTGTTTCTTAAGGAATTTGTACGAATTTGTTTAAGAAAAAAATAGATATACTACACAAAATTTTAATGAAAATTTATGAAATGAAAGTCACACTTGAAATAGCTTATAAAAATGGCAATTGATGATAATTGAGCAAACGGTGAATAATTTAAAATATTGGGATTTAAATTTATTATAATTTATAATCAAATTATGATTATTATTATTATTATTGTAATAATAAGATTTAATTATTATTAAAAAGGAAAAAGAAAATTTACAGTACTAATCACTATCATCCATTCCGGAACCGGCGGCTGCCGTCACAGCTGCCACTTCTGCATCATTAGCATCCGTCACAGCTCCCTCGTCCTCCTCGGCGCTATCGATGAACGACGCGTTGCTGCTTTGCTGCAGCTCCAAGTGCTCCAAATACTCTTGAAGACGGTCCTGGAAGAAGTTAATGTACGTTTGTTTCTGCTGCGCAGTGGCCGGAAAATAATGGCCTCCACTATGTTCGAGCACTTCTACGTTCTTAAAGTGAGCTGCCAGCGATTCGCTCATATCCTTGGGAATGATTTCATCCGTCAGCCCGTAAACGTGTAGGGTGGGAATTGTGATGCGTTCCTCGTAAGCACTCATATGCACGAGACTGCCAGATATGAAACCGGAGCTAAGCACAGCAAATTCGGGTCGAATAGAGGTCACTGGTGGGGAAGCAGCTGATGTCAGTAAATGGGTAAGCCAAGAATAGAACACTTACATTTCTTTTTGGCCAGACCACAAATCAGTCCCACAAAACAGGCACCTTGGGAAAACCCCAGGAGCCCTTGGAATGGTCCCTGTGACTTCCAAGCATCTTCGACGACGCGTAAACTCTCTTGGAATCCGTACGCCGGTCCACTTTTGTTGGTGCCTTTGAATGTGCCATCATCTTTGTTGGCCCACCAGCTGCGCTGATGCTCCACTGGCTCTGCCGATGGTTCTAGTGGCGCAGCTACGTGAGGCGCTGAGATAAACACAAACTCCGCATATTTCCCAGCAAACTTGCGAAACGAACCCAATTTGTTTTTAAATGAATCCGCTTGAATTTCAAGTATGATGTTAAAATAAATTGTTTCAAGAATTCAGTAGTACGAACCATCTTGCCGGTATCCGTGCAGGCAAAGAACTCGCACCTTTTCTGTGATCTCCACCTTGGCGGCAGAAGATGCGGAGGCACCACTACTCGCTCGGCTCGAGCCAGCAGTCTCTGATTCGTTGTTGGTCATAGTGGATAAGTAGTCCCAGCTGCAAAAAAGCGCCACAAGAAAAACTCCCAATGTTTTTTGAGGTTAAACGTATGAACAGCTGATATCCCAACTGCTAGAGATGAAACTTTCAGTTCATTTAAGTCGGCTTGTTTGAGTTGGTTCAAAAAGCATAAAAATACCGATGGTTCCAAATGAATCAACTTGATGGGAATGTATACAATACTCAAAATCTGATGCTAGTTTAAGTAACTGATAAATCTATCAAACCTATTTCAGTAAAAGTTAGTCATATTTACATAATGATTCAAGTTAAGTAGGAGTGAACCTTGCATATCCTTTTTAAATACGTCTTGTTTGCGCCAATATACTTGTCCCTTTTACATGCGCATGTCCATTCGATAGATCCTTAATTGAATACATGTTTCGACTCTGTCGCACACTTTGCGCTGGCGCCATCTATCAATAAAATAGTTTTGCTTAATGTATGGCTGGCGTCATCTGTTGAGATATTTTAATACTTCTGCGCCATCTGTGTGAATGTATTCGAGCTAGAATCTCATTCAGCAAAACTGTTAAGTTAACATTAAAGGATATTTAAGAAGGTCCTAGTTTTATTTAGGTATCCATTCAAGACACGCACCTTGCATTGCGTCTTAGATAAGACTAGACTCATCAGTCGGATATTGGGTACTTATTGTGAACTTCCAAATTTAAATATTATCCGAACTGTAACAGAAACAGAAAGAGATCTGAGAAGTTTAAAACGCAAAAAAAATGTATTTAAGGAAAAAAGGATAATCAATTCGAATTCCAGATGTGCTCATTTTAGTCTGTTAGAGAACACACATCAAAATTACCGAAATTGTAATTAGAGTATTAATTGGACAAATTGTTGTCACGCATAACTTAAGCAATGTTTACCTTTATGTCCAATATGCCTGTGCTTTTGGCCTGTCGTCACCCTCAGCCCTCACGTTACCCGTTTTGTTATATTAATTTGCTGATTTATTAGCATCGGCCCATCAGATGGCAGCGATAAATTTAAATGCAATTTAATGAATGCTTGCGTATTTCGCATTTCATTCGGCCATTGTTGAGGTTGAGCTTGAAATGGTTTAACGGCAGGCATTTGCCAGTTATGCGTAAATTGTAAATATTTATGTGTTTCACGCAATTGTTGCAATTTGCTATTGTGTGTGCGTGCGTGTTTTATGTGTAAATGTGTTTAATGCGATCAAATAAATAGAAAAATGAGCTTCCGGCTGCAACTTATTACGAATTTACACGCATTGAAGCGAACAACTGGCAAACCCACAAAAATGAAGAGCCAAATAAAAATGCATATGTATGCATGCAGATACATGCATGCATATATTGAGCTACCGCAGAAGCACAACTTTTGTACAACACACCCACACACGCACACACACACGGAGGGGAGCGAGAGAGAGACAGAGAGTCGATAGAAAACTGTTAAATATTTTATGCTGCTGCTATTTCACGCTTGTGAATCACAAACAAAGCCACAGACAGCCGGTCAGGGCAGCCTTTAAATGCGCATAAACCAAAAAGTTGCCCACCATTTCCTGCAGCACCGTGCTGCTTAGGCCCAGAACCAGGCCCAGGACCAGAGCAAGGCACACACAGAAACCCAAACTTCATATGTCTGCCCTTTACTCGATGTCAGTGCTTAGCAGCGAGCTTGCAGCTCTGTATCTTTATCTGTATCTGTATCTGTATCTGTATCTGTATCTGTATTTGTATCTGTATCTGTATCTGTATCTGTATCTGTATCTGTATCTGTATCTGTATCTGTATCTGTATCTGTATCTGTATCTGTATCTGTATCTGTATCTGTATCTGTATCTGTATCTGTATCTGTATCTGTATCTGTATCTGTATCTGTATCTGTATCTGTATCTGTATCTGTATCTGTATCTGTATCTGTATCTGTATCTGTATCTGTATCTGTATCTGTATCTGTATCTGTATCTGTATCTGTATCTGTATCTGTATCTGTATCTGTATCTGTATCTGTATCTGTATCTGTATCTGTATCTGTATCTGTATCTGTATCTGTATCTGTAGCCATGTGGTCATGTGGCCGGCAGACAGACGTATTTAATATTTAAATCAAATTCCAGCGATTGGAATTCAGTTGCGATTGCAAGACGTTGCAAATGTTTGTCAGGTGCTGGCATCGGAGTATTTAGTTTTCGAATCAGAATAGTGTGAAATAAATTAATAATCGTAAATCACATTAAATGCATTGGTGTATATGCCAGGGGCATAAATATCTCAGACAACATTGAAAGCGCATTTTGAGGTTTGAGGTTTTTCGGTTACGGCAATCACCTGACTTATCGCCCAGGTGCTGATGAGTTTATTGGTGTTTACGGCCACAATAATGCAACAATAAATTGCAATTTAACAATATATATTTAACATTTCATTGATATATAGTTATTACTTTAATTAACGTCCGTTTATATATACAATAACTATGTGGTCAATTTATGGTGGTAATATCTCAAAATAAAGTATGCTTATTGAATTGATTAAATGAATGAGTTCTACTGTACCAAAATATATTTATTGTGGCTTTTCCAATATATTTAGAGTACTTAATTTTGACAGTTTACTGTATCGAAGTTTTACTTTACTTAGCCACCTGCTAATTCCTTTAGCTGGATTTCAATTCTTGCCATTTGTTTTCAGCTAAATTAGCCAAATGCCTGCACTGACTTCGACTCTGGCACGGCTCTGCGCCTTCGAAGTGAACGAATTTTAACAACAAATCAATTTTGTTTGCCAGATTGCACTCTACGTGACTCAATTGCTAATTGCCTCATTTGAAGCAAGAATTAAGCAAACTCAATTGGCCCCAAAAACAACAAATTGGCTAAATAGAAATATAAGCGCTGCGAAGGGCGGCCGGCATTTTTATGCAATTAGCTTTGTTAAAAGAACAAAATCCTAGTCCGTATGAGCTTTTTGTATGCCATCCGATCAGGCTCAAGCTCTATTTCGAAGATCTTTGTAAAAATTCATGGCACACCTGTTCGAACATCTAGATATCAAAGTTGGATTTTTTTTTCGATTAGCTTTAAATTAATTTTTGAAGCTTTATACTAACAATTACTTTTAACGTGTTCGTTGATTTCCATTCCCAAGTCCGGAATATCCGTGAAAAAATGTGGAATTAAGCCTTTATGTTTTTGCTTCGTCCACATCAAACTGATGTTAAATTTGAAAAGGTCACCTGGGCAACGATGGTTAATTCGCGCTCCGGTATTATTATGCTCGTTAGTATTTTAACATGCTCGTGCACTCAGTCGAGCTTATTCTGTTCCACTGTATCTTCTCTTCGCTTCCCTTTTTTCCTCTCATATTTGATTCATCATTTTTGTTAGTTGCAAAAAAATAATAGCAGCACTTTTTGTTCTGCATTTTATAAAATTTCTTGAATGTTTTCAAAAGGTTACCGAAATGAATTTACGTTCTTAAAACTATGTATTCTTTCCTTTAAAATGATTTAACGTGTTCATATGTTCCTCAATATAGGAAACATTGCCTTAGATGATTGTATTATTTTTAATGCCGCAGCTCTATTTTATCTATAAATCTATCTATAGAAATAAGATATTTTTGCGTATGTATATTTACATATTTACATGTACATTATATTTCCATGTTTAATTATATAAATATAAACATATTCCACATTTAAAGCAATTCAGACATGGACTCGAGCTCGGGCAACTAGTTCCGTTCAAGGCTTTGCTAAGCGGCTTATAGAAGATATCAGAAGCTGAACAATAAATAGAAAGAACGAACAATACAAAATGCATCCAAATACAGGACATTATAGGATTAATATTTTAAAAGCATGCAACTCCTCAGTGCACATGCCTCTGTGCGCATGCAAACAGAATAATTGCTTAAAAGCAATTATTATTTAATTAGCAGAGCGGCATAAACAAAACGCAACAAAAGCCGCGTTGAAATGTGGCACAAGTGGCCAAACCAAAAATGGGAAAACAGAATGAAAAACTGGGGAAAATGAGGAAAATGAACGGCGCGGCATTAAAATCGATCTCATTACTTAGCAACGGGCAGCCACAAAAAGTCGGCTGCGGAGGGGTAAAGTGTGCGCCAGTCGAAAAGTTTAATAACTGAAAATACTCAAAACACAAACCACAAAAGTGAAAATCTCTTAGAAATGTCCAGTAGGCAAAAAAACAAACCCATCAAAACAAAACAAGAGCAACTCGAGAAATCAAAAGCAAAACTCAATCAGGCATTAAGCATTAAACAAAAAAATAGCAGAAAAAAAAAAACACCAAAGCCAGTACGCCCCACGCCCCAATTTGAAGAAAATAGCACAGCAAGTGGGTGAGCCGTGTGCCTAGGCCAGAGCACAACGGAAGCGGAAACAGTACAAAAGTAAAGTTAAAGTCAGCTGGCCCTCTCAGACCAGCATAACGGACGCCATCTTTGAACTAGTGCATTTCCGGTTAACAAAAGGGACATGGAAAAATGTTTTAATTTCTGGCTGCTGCAACCGAATACCCAAAAGGCAAAGTTCATAAACTCCGACAATCTCTATGCCTTTGCATGTGTTTTGCATTTGCCTTGGCTTAAATTTCCGTTCTTGCATTATAGACAATGCTCTGCAATAACTGGCTAAAATGTTTTGTGTTTGGCTATTAGGTGAACCAGACACTTATACATAGGAAAATATATGCAGCTAAGTTCTGTATCAAATAGTAATTAAAGCTCAATACAACTGAGACACTTAATTCTGTTCTGCTCCAAAAAGTATGCTACTATAAATTTCAAGCACAAACTGCAGTTCTCATGCTACAATTTGACTAATATGTTTAAGGATTTGCTGCAATCGGCAATTGATTATAGCCAATTTGCAAAAAGGCACAAAAATATACTCAGCATTGGCATTTAAATGAATAGTGCTTATGGCCGGGCTATATAGAAATGTGTTCGTAATCAACTTTGCTAATCAGGCTGAGAATTTTTTCAATTTGTTCTATGCAAAGTTCTGAGCAACTTTTATTTGTTGTCCAGCCAAGCATATAAATAGAT